TTCTTGCCACAGGCCGTGTATTTTTAATTTGTTAAAATCCAGTTAAAGAAAAATAATAATTTGCGTACTGAAGCCTTCAAAGGTCGTTCATCTGAATCCTGCTTTAAAAAACCTGGTGAGCTGCCCAGTGTATTTATCAAAAAATCAGCAAGGTTAATATTAAAATCCACATGTCAGTTGTAAAAACCTCAATTGGCTACAGCGTGAGGCCTGTTTAAACATTATCATCCCACTACTGGCACTCTGGAGTCATTTCAATTATTGAATTTAAGAGATGTTATATCATCTTTTAAATGACTGCACATGCAGCTGACTCAAGGTGTGAGAGTTGTTTTTTCAGAATTTACACTACCTCAGGAGAAACAGTAGCAAAAAATATCACTGCCTAATACTTTTGAGTGAATCTTAAAATACTTACATTGTTGATTTCCAAAAGCACGTTGTGTTACGTATCTGAAAAATAAAAACTTTTTCTTTCCCCTGAAAATCTTCCCGTTCCTGGAAATGACGGCTGTTTCATGCAGGAACTTGCACAAAACACAACATGCATTATTTTTCACAGAACAGTGCAAAGTAACAGGAGAAGAACTGAGCATGAACACAAATACAGATTCTGTAGTTCGAGGAAGAAAAAAAACACCTCATAGGTCTTAAACCTGTAGCATCATTAAAGTTTAACCACAAAATATCGCTTTTCTCCCAGAAAAAATGCAGTTCCTGGCTCTAAAAGTAGGTTAGGCCACTGTATTGAAGCTTCCACTGGACGTATCACACTGCCATCAAACTGTCCATTGCGTGTATATTGTAGTTTTAGTATCTGTTTTTATTTGGCTAAGTGACATGCTAGTATTTTATTAGTCCGTTAATTAGCACAAATTAGCAGGTATCTGTGTCTGTGCATTGCAGCTGTAGCACTTGGTAAAGTGTAAAGCTAAAATATGTCTGAAACATAATGCATAAATCTGTTGGTATTTGGGCTATTCAGCTATATGTTTGGGTTTTTGGCTGCTACATGTTTTCCACCAGTAGAGGGCAGTCACGGCAAAAAGAAAAGAAAAAAATGTTCTGTAAAAAAAAAGAGAAGATAGTATTCTTGGGTTCTGTATGTGAAAGCCACGGTTCTGGAGTACCCAAATAAACTTGGTTTGCTGTTTACACCAAGTTGTCCTGGAGTGGTGTAACACAGTGCCGTTTATGGTTGAAGCATGCTAACCAAGCCTGCTAGCATTAGCTGATAATCCAGCTAATTTCATCCATAAGGGGTCTCGTCCATAAAAACCTGCATGCTAGCAACATAAAAGCTAGTACATTCAAAAAAGTGGCGTCAGGATGCCAGTTTATATACTTTATATAGTCTTTCTATACAACAACTCCTGGATGTTTGACTTTTAGGAAGGACAGAATAAGAGATGTTTTTTGTAATCTTTATCTTTTCCTTTTGTTGTCCAGATTCAAATGTAGTCCACAACTTTTAAGGGTATTGTTGCGTTAGTCTGAAGGAGCAGACAGGAAAAAACATTCTCATCATGACTGGTGAAACATATTGTGCAGTAAGAAAAAAAGATCAACTCCTACCCCGTAATCAAGATTTGACTGTATAAAACCTCCTAATGTCTATAATGTTTTACGTTTGGGTTTTAGCTGCTGTGAGAAACCAAGAAAAAAAATGGCACTGAGACAGACTCTTAAAGTGAGAAGCACAAAAATAGCTCATATTTTTTTAAGTATTCTAGATAGAAAAAAAGTTCTCAGAAGTAGTTTCACTGGAAAAAAAGAAAGAGAATGAACAAAGATATTGTACCAATTTCTAGCTACTCTATGCTGCCTATAAAAGGTACCCTGTAGCAAGAACAGCAAACTCAGAGCACAGAGAATGATTACAGCCTGAAAGAATGGCAGAGGCTTTTATAAAGCTCGCCTGTCGAGCAGATCATTGAATCTCCTCTAACTCCTGTAATCTTCCCGTTCCGACTGACAATGCTTTTTATTGTAATCTTGTACTTGACACAAAGATTGGCCAAATGCTCAGTGATGGCAGAGAGTATTTTGTGTACATCGTGACTGATAAAGACCAGCTATGAGGATAATATATGCTTGTTTACAAACTCGTCTTTTAAAGTTAACCGGTTTTACAAAAATTATTTGTTGAGAAAGGAAATACTGGAAGAAGAAACAACGACAAACCCGACGCCTAAAACTTTAAATTAGGAGTGGAGTCTTTGAAATGGAAATTGCTTGTAATGCTTGGGTGTTTTTGCATTCATCATTTCATACCAAATAATAACCTACAAACTACCACAGAGTGGATGTTTTCTTTTAAAATGTGCGGTCACATCAGAGAAGAGATCAAATGTAGCTCTAAATGAAATCTTTGCTTTTTATATTCTTTGCATTAACACATTGACACAACTGCATTTCTGGTCCTTGGCAAACATGTCAGCCAATTTAGGACTGGTACTTATATGATACTTTTCTACTCTAGTTGAGTAGAAACCACTTCTATTTATTCTTTTTTTTTTTACTTCAAACTTCATTTAGTCATTCTTACAAGCCACTAAACACTTTTCCACACATTCACACGGATGCATCAGAGGCAACTCGAGGTTCAGTATCTTGTCCAAGGATACTTTGACTAGAGGAGCTGGGGATCAAACCATCTACCTTCCTATTAGTACGCAATCCGCTCTACTTCCTGAGGCACAATAAGTAGCCTTCGTTAATCGGCCTCAATTGTCTCTTTGCATAGCTACCTTTTGTTGGATTTGGTGTCATTGTTATTAACTTTGGTTTCTTCAGACTGTATGTAAGAGACAGATGTAACTTTAGGGAACCTCAAACTTATGTTCTTTGTTACAGCCAGCAGGGAGTTTTGACTCTTGTTGTAAACCTTTGAGGAAAGTTACCCTACTTGGTGCTCAGTTCATCAATTCTGTAGCTCGTCTCTTCGTTTAAGGTCTTAATTTGTAGTTTCAAGTCTTGACTACAATATGATGTTCATGTTTTAAAGTATAGTCCCCATTAGGACAATAAGGTATGACACACTTTCAGAGAAGCCAGTTATTTCTCATGTCCCGTGGTGTCTCCATCAACCTGGTGACAGTCAGCTCGAGACGTCGAGATGCAACTTCACTAACCCTGTTGAAGTCATGACAGTGCTGTCACAGTACTGTGTACAACCCACCGACCAGGTGTCGTCAGGATGCTTTTCATGCTCCGATCAGAGGTTTTCTTGTTAAAGTCGTCTTTGTATTCTAAGTCAATACAATTCAGTTTTATTTATATAGCAAAAGATCACAACGTAACATCAAAACCCTACAATGACAGAGAAGACTAATACAACCAGATGAGAGAAAGCACTTGGCGACAGTGGGAAGGAAAAACTCTCCTTTAACAGGAAGAAGCCTTTGATAATACCTGGTTGAGGTAGGGGCAGCGTGACTGGTTTGGGTTGATGGGCGGGAGACAAACTGTAGTCCATCTAATGTGTTTGTATCAGACGGTATGTAAAATTAAATATCTTTTACCTAAAGATAATGCTTTTAACACATTTAAGGTATTCTTTCTGTTTAGCCCCAGACAATCAGCTCTCCTGGTCAGTTACTTAATTAACCCCTGCTTAAGAGCATACATATTAAGGTCCCTGTAAAACCAGTGCTGACCTTTATTCTATTCATAACTTTCAGGGAATTATCTACTATCTTTAGGGCTTCTTCATGAGTGATGGAGGGAGCAGGAGACAGACTGGTGTGAAAGTAAAGCTGTCAATTTACCGGTCAATCTACATTCCCACCCCCTGCCTTGTGGGCTGTGACTGAAAGAAGGGGGCGTCCGGGCTCTCCTTTACAGATAGGGTGATGAACTCAGATGAGGAACAGAGGAAGTTGTTCTGACTACATTGGCTCTTGGACACCTCCTATTTGAAGTGATCTGGGTGTGACTGGAAGGAGATCCAAGACCTTCTTAAGGGATATTATCCCTTAGCTGGCTTGGGAACACCTCAGTGTTGGATGGATAGACGGACGGATGGTGACAAGGTGAAACGTGAGAAGTAATCTTACTAAGTAACGATGTGCAGAAGTGTGTCTAAGAACATATCCTAAGAAGAAAAGTACTTGCAAATATGAACACAACATACTCAAGTTAAAAAAAAGTGTTTGTGTGGCCAAAAATGCAAACTTTTAAAGGAATTACCTAACTAAACTGAATTAATGTCTAAACAGAATGATATATTCTATTTAAGTTAGAAACATACTGTATTTTTTATGCAGTGAAATCTGGAGCAGACACTTTCTAAGCCTCTCCACAAACAAAAACAAATACATTAGCACCTGAGCTAGAAAACAGAAAAATGCCTCAATTATCTTCATAAATTGGACAGAAAATTACAGACGATAGTTAAGGAGACGAGTCGAGGGTTTGTCGTGAGAGGGGTGTGGGAAATGTTTTACTAGACACAAATGAGACGTCTTAATCTTGGTAGACACTGTGTCTCAAAAGAAAAACTACATATGCTGTGATTTTTGCGAGAGTGAAATGAAACTGGGAGAAGAATTGGTTTAACTTCAGGTATACTAGCTTTAAATTGATTTGAAAAGAAAAAAAGTACAATAAATAAATTGAAAGCCACGCGCTAAAAGAGTCTGTGTGATAGTCTGACAGCAAAATAAATTCATTCGCAGGCATCTGGCAGACAAAATGTCTGTTCGCCCTTGAGAAGGAGCCACTCTGCTAAATGTGAAATAAAAAGCCTTACCCAGTGTGGTGCGGTTTGAATTCTGGCATCCCATGGACTCGGTTGATGTTACGAATGTATGAGAGACAAAACAAAATATGAGCTTGCAGCTGGCACCTTCGCTCAGAGTGAAAGACGCGAAATAGTGAAAGGAAGGACACAACAATAAGACAGCATGCAGGAAGTTGAACTAGAGAGACTTTCAAACTGTAACTCGGTGATTCGTTGGACAAATACGGCAGTGAACAAACATCGAGTCAAAGTCGCATTACAGTTTGTGCAAATGTTTAATCACTTGTCTTGGCATAGAGCAATATTCAGTGCAAACAGGATTCATTATTTTTGCAACGGGCATGATAGTAATGTGAGGACTTAGCAAAGCATACAAATTATGTCAGGCTCTGAAAGCAAACAAGAAAGCCTGTGAGGAGTGAAGTGTGGACTTATTTACATCCTGAACACAAAAGCGCAACGTAATGCGAGCACAAGCTGCGCGAGACAGTGACATAACCTCTTGATGTCGCACAGTACATACAGTAAAAGACACAGAACTAAATGTCACTCTCTGTATAAGCATGTAAGTATTGCACATAAAACCTTCCTGAGTTAACCTTTACTTTGGAATTGGAGTATAAGGTGTACAGTTTGCCCAAAGTTTACATATGTCGGTACAATTTAATTGTATGTTGTAATAACTTTAAAAAAAAATACATTAAAAAATATATTTCTGTAGTTTTTACGCATTCTTGACACCATAGGTAGCTGAAAATTTAAGTAACGCAATCAGCTATTTTCCAGACCAAACAAAGGCTTTACATGCTAAAGGAATGAGCAATAACATAGACTGTATTTAGAAGATGGATTTTGCAAATCTCTTCCAGCGACCAGCAAGGGGTGACTCCTCGAGTTGCAAAAAAGGAACAAGTGTACAGAAGTCTAGAAAAGGACAAACATGATCCTGTTTCTCACTTGAACTCCGTGAAGTCCTGAGTTTATGCTAGTTTTTATGCAAATTTTGGTATATATATATACTATATAAAAATAAGAAAATCTATCTCAGTTTCCTTTGTGCTTATGCTGTGTCCTACAATAGATGTCTTAGATTCACCCATGTGTCATCACATCTGGTATTTAGCTATGGCTAAAACTCTAGCAAGTATAGCAAGTTAGCTTTGAGTAACAAAGCATTGCGTCCGTGGCTAAGAAGGAAGCTAACAAGCTTAGCTAGCTAGGTACCCGTATCTGATCAATGCAACTTAAAGTATAAAAAGAAAACAGGATTATGTGTGATTAAGATTATGACCACATCTTCAGAGGCATAACTACTTATGTAGAAGGTGCACTATGCCAAAGCCAGCATTTCATGTGACACATTATTACAAGAAAAATAGAGCAGAAGGATCTTAAAATTTAAGGCCTTATAAGCTAACAAAATATAAATAAAAATATGTTTTTGCTCATACATTCATTACTAAATCTCATGAAACATTTGACGTGCGCTCGATTACATTCCTGATGCCTACATATAATAGAGATAAAGCCCTGCAAGCTTTGGCCGGTGCAAACATTTAGCACCTTTCTTGCAGGCGCAACATGTTTGACAGCCACTGCTGCAAACTCAGTGCTTGTTATTGAACACCATCTACAGCTAATTGTAGGCTCCTTCAGATACAAAGCCAATAGATGTGGCAGAGTAGTTATTTATCACTGGAGTGCCTATCAGCAGCTGGGATGGCAGCCTGAAACTAACTGCTGCTTTAGACTTTTTGAGTTGATTTATCTTTGTTCAATCAGCAGCAAACGTAAACAAATGATAGGAGTCTAAAGCATCAGTCAATCTGAAGGTCAAGGCTGAGGTAGTGCTGTGCAATTTGTGATGCTAGGGGAAGCACAGAGGGAGATGTGGTGGAATGATCTACAATAAATGTGCAAACAAAACCAAAGTGGTGTTATTTCAGTTGTTTAACCTTTGTGAAATACAGCATTTCCTGCACTCGCACCTACAATCTTATTAAGTCATTTTTGTCAGGCTTTGCTCTTAAAGTTGGTTTTTGTCAAATGGAAATCAGCCTGTGTGGTAAAAAAGAAAAAGAATTATTTTATTTTAAATGTAAATTGATTGACTCTGCATTTTGAAGAATTTGGATAATCGAGTTGAATACGTCACGATTTTAGTGCAGTAACCCGCCCTTCTTGTGTCAAACCAGGGAGTTCTAGAAAACTCCACAAACTTTGCAGTAGCATTCACTGTAACCAACTATTTACGGTGTCAGAATGAAAGGAAGGCTACAAAATCAGGCATTTGTAAATGAGTTAAAAAACTGGCTTGGCGAGGGACAGTTATGGAAAACATCATGAATAATTGCAAACTTTGCAAGCCTGCTGATAAACCCTGAAAGCAGGGGCATGCTATATTTAGTAATAATAATTATTTAGTAATTAAAGCTAAATTAGGTTAGGAACTCATTTGTTTGCCAGTGCAAATACTGCAGATTCCCTTATTTTAAAGGCATATCGCTGGACGACTGTAGATGCGGTTCTTTTCTCGTGCGCTTTACACCTTTTCTGCTCCTTGGGAGGTCCTCAGATTCCCCAATGGCAGCTCGTCTGAAACGTCCACCGGGTTGCTATAGGCCTCAGAGTCCTCTTCATCGTGCTGCTGCCTCGCAAAATTCACAAAGACCTGGAATACAAATGAGGAGAAGAAAGTACTTAAAAGCAAAGGCAAGATAATAAACTTCTGCTGAAGGGCCCGTGGACACTTCTCGTTTGCGCTCTCTCCCCACCCTCTGCCTTTAAAACAAACAGAAATAGCGGCACGGACGACGGGGTGCATGAGAATGAGATGCCAGTCGAGGGCTACGGAGCATCAAGCAAGCGTCTCGGCTCACACAGTGAATGTCAGTTTGACATCTTTGACCAGCAGAGAAAGAGAATAAAACAATCATTCTTCTCTCTGTGATGCCCATTTAATGTCAGACGAAATCAATCCTATGGCGTTCATAAAAAGCTGTGTGTATTTCATTGTGCTGTAAACATCACAGGCGAGCGGGCGTTTTAGTCTCTTAGCATCGGCGGTAAAGCTACACAAAGACTCTCTGCAGACGGAGAGGGGAAGGGAAAAAAGGCAACAAAGCGGATCATATAAAATGATAAGAGCATTGCTTTTTCATTTAACCATTTTCATTGGCTGTGTGAATATAACAGGACACGCGAATTACTAGATTGCACTTAAAATCTAAATGGAAAATAAATAAAATTGTCCTCCAAGCCAATCCCATCAGCAGCTACTCAGAGGCCCTATCAATTAAACCTTTCTTCACAGATACACACTTGCTAAATCAAATGGCAAATAAGCACATGTAAAAGGCCATGGATGAAGAGAAATAAACATTAGTAGCCTATTCTTCTGGGCTTAAAAACAATCCTCTTTTGTTTTATTGAAGCTCAGACGGGTAATAGAGATCTATCCAGTCAGCCTTTGAGGCTTCTGTTTTTAATTAACCAGTGAATATAATCTGAAACCTTATAATTTAATGGTAATGAAGTCTTTATTAGCATTAGCAACTTCCATCTTTTGAACAAAGGACGTACATTTGCCAATTACTCTGATATATTTACTTTGTCATTACTGACAACATGTCTTCACTAGTGAAAATACGGATGGGAGGCTTTTCTATCGCTAAAGTAATGACCTCATTTTATGTGCTGTTTACATCTAGAGTCTGAGGTTTGAGAAATACAGCAGTTTGCTTTCTTCTTGAGAGTTAGATGAGAATATTGATACCATTAGTTATTCCGTGTTCAGCCTTGAATTGAAGCTAGCAGGTGATCAGTCTATTTTAGCAACAAAGAGGAGCCCAAAAACACCTGCCGGCATTTTTAAAACGTGCCGAGCACACAGACAAAAAAATTAACTACATAACAACTTCTGCTGAAAGCAAAAGCTTCTATCTATCTATGGTTTCACAGTCCATACAGATCAAGAATGACTTGATGTATAATCCACACAAACTCCATGTGTGAGCACAAAGTATGTTTCACTTCCAAAACATATATTTAAATGATTTTTCCTGTTTTGTTTCCATGTTTTAGGTCAAACAAGACACGATGTTGTGTGACAGCAGGTGCTTTTCTCTCCTGCTCGCGGGAACATTAATTAGCCTATCTAGACATTTAAGTAGATCTGTCTTTCATGCAGACATTTATTATGAGAGAATTCTTGGCTCAGTTCAGGACATGAATATGCACAATGTGTTTTTCTGGTTCCTCTGCGATCTAACGTCATGCGCCTAAACAGAATCACGCTGATATCTATTGGCCACAGAGCATGTGAGCAGCTGAAGAGGTGACGTGCGCCACTTTCACCACACAGGGTTAAACTAAAAAGCCATGTTACTCTGATTCAAACAAAGATACTTCCTGTCATAAAGTTTGGAGTTAAAATAATCTGATCTGATCTTCAGGTTTTTGCTATTTATCCTTTCTCTGTCCTCTGGGAGTTTTTTTCTTTCCTGCCATCACAAAGTGCTTTATACCTTAAAGAATAAAATGCATTGAGGAGACTGTTGTGATTTGGCCCTATATAAATAAGCCTGAACTGAATGGAATTACTGTATTTAGAAAACTTTAATAATAACAGTAAAACCACATGAACAGTCATTTTTTACTGAATAGTGTAACTACGTGGATAAAACTTCCTTATAGAGAAGCTGCTAAGTGTAAGGTCATTGAGCTAGTTATGTCATAACATCAGCAGCGTGTATCAAGGTCACTGTTGTCAAGGCATCTTCTCAGCAGAGAATAAATACGAGGATAAGAATGACAACAAATGCACCCTCCGCCCTCCTCTGCTGGCCTCTGACTCACTGGCTTGATGTGCTGAGGCATGCACAGCATTTCATATTCATAGTCAAGGCTGCGTAGTTTGTGCAGCAGAATTGCAAAGTGCTGTTTGTCTTGAACTTTCTGCAAAACTGAGCGTGGGAGCTTTAATGATGCAGCCATTTTTTTGACTGAGACAAGCATGGTTAAATTCCTCCGGTGCGCTGCGGTGTGATTATTTCGTAATGTTCACTTTCTGCATTTAGCCAACCATCCATTCATGACCTGAACGTCATGCACCAGCGCTGCTGAGTGGCATTTTCTTAATAACAGATGGATACAGGCATTAATTACATTATAGGGGTGCGCTGGGGTGTTTATTTGGTACCCACTGAGGCAGAACCCAGGAGGGGAAGGACGCGAATCAGCTAATTAACCTCAGCTATACATCAAAGAAGTCCTTGCAGAATTTAAACTGGCTGTTTTTACATTCGTTACATGTCATTAAAATATTCCTGCTCATCTCAAGATCCCAAACAGAATCTC